GCCTTCTGGTTAGCAGTCAAGTGCCTTAGCCACTATGCTACCAGAGCTCCCTCCCTACTCCTAGAATCTTCCATTTCCTGTGGTGATGTCTCAGAACATGTTTAGTGCCTAAACCCATGGCCACTGGGGTCCCCTAGAACTCTAATAATACACTTTCCCTATAAAACAGTGTCTCTAGTTGAAAAATGTAAAAATAGAATTGACAGACCCACTTTACAGAGAGCAGTGGATCAATGAGATAAAGGAGGTGGCTGAGAAGGAACAGGTGACCATGTGTCTTTCATTGGGTTGAGGCATAATGATACAGACCATACCAATTGGTACTAAAGTTTCTGCATGTAACACACTAAGCATAGGGTTCGACTAATGCACGGGTTTGTTTTTCAGATTAAATCTGTGCTGATGCCACCAATTCCATCAGGTAGAGAGGTTACCATTGACTTTTGGAAAAATAGAGCATGTGGCAGAACAAGCAAGCCAGAAATGTCAATTGCTGACCAGTTACTACTGCGTGAGTGGCAACAGGTAGGTAATCAAAACTATATATAAACCAAGTGTTCACCAAAGTGGCAGCACAGACAGTGTAGATGATGATGTCCCTTGCAATATACAGATAATTAGTGATTTTACCTTTGTCTGCATTTCTATCTTTGTCTGCATTTCTAGAGAAACTAGTTTTCCCTACTCCTGTTGTTGTTGTTGTTATGTGCCGTTGAGTGGGATTCGACTCATAGCGACCCCTCCTTGGGTTTCTGAGGCAATATCACTATGGAAGTAGATTGCCCCATCTTCCTTCCGAGGAGTGGCTGGTGGGTTTGAACCGCCATCCTTCTGGTTAGCAGTCAAGTGCCTTAGCCACTGTGCTACCAGAGCTCCCTCCCTACTCCTAGAATCTTCCATTTCCTATTTGAATTCATCACTATATTTTAACAATTTTATTAAGATATGATTTACATACCATATAATCCACCTATTTGAAGTATATAATTCAATAGTTTTTAGTATATTCATAGAAATATGCAACTATCATCACAGTCTAATTTTAGAAGATTTTCATCACTCCCAAACAAACTTCATGTACATCATCAGCCATTCCCCATTCTCTTCCCCTCTTTAAGCCTTCCATAAGGACTTATGTGCCGTTGAGTTGTAAAGACATCTGCTGTACATCTCTGCAAATTTGCATACTCTGAACATGCTATATAAATGGACTCACACGATATATGGTCTACTATGTTTGGTTTCTTTCACTCAACACAGTATCTTTAAGGGTTCATCCATGTTGTAGCATGTATCAGTACTTCATTCCTTTTATTGCTGAATAATATTCCATTGTATGGATATACTACATTTTCTTTATGCATTTGATGAACATTTGAGCTGGTTGCACTTTTTGGCTATTATGAATAATGCTGCTGTCAACATTCATGTACAAATTTCTGTTTGGACATATGTTTTAATTTCTTTAGCTATATACCTAGGAGTGGAATTGCTGGGTAATAAGGTAAATATAAGTTTAAACATTTTGAAGAACTTCCATACTGTTTTCCCAAGTGATGGCACCATTTTGCATCCCTATCACCAATCTTTGAAACCAATTACTCTACAGTCTTGCCAGTACTTGTTATTGTCTGTCCTTTTCATGATAGCCATCCTAGAGGGTGTGAGGTTGAATCTCATTATGACTTAATAAAAATAATATATTTCCCTATTGACTAATGATGTTGAGCATATTTTAATGTGCTTATTGGATATCTTTCTGTCTTTTTTTGGTGAGGGAATGTCTATTTATATCCTTTGCCCATTTTGAAATTAACTTATCTGTCTTTTTTATTGCACGGTGAGAGTTCTTTATGTATTCTAGATATAGGCCCCTTGTCGGATATATGATTTGCATTCTCTCATATTCTTTGGATTGTCGTTTTCCTTTCTTTATAGTATTATTTGTGGTATAAAAATTCATAATTTTGATAATTAATTTTAATTTTTATCTATTCTTCCCCCTTGGTTGCTTGTGCTTTTGATGTCATATCTAAAAAGTCACCAAAAACCTAACCTGAAATCATGAAGATTTATTTTATGTTTTCTTCTAAGAGTTTTATACTTTTGTTATGTGCCATCGATTCGGACCTGACTCTAAGTGACCCCTCCCTGGATTTCCGAGGCAGTATCACTACGGAAGTAGATTGCCCCATCTTCCTTCCGAGTCGTGGCTGGTGGGTTTGAACCACCAGCCTCCTGTTTAGCAGTCAAGTGCCTTAGGCACTATGTGTTTTAGCTCTTCCATTTAGATTTCTGAGCCATTTGGGTCAATTTTTGTGTATGATGTGAGGTTCCAAATTCATTCTTTTGCTTGTGGAAATCCACTTGTCCCAGCACCATTTTTTTAAAATACATTTTATTGAAATATAATTTATGTACAGTGAAATACACA